CCCTGGTCTGCTGGAGACGGTCTCCAGCAGACCAGGGGCACCAGAGCAGCTTACGAACGGGGCTTTCTCTCCCCGGAGCTCGCAGGTAGCAATCCGCCACCTCGACCTCCGGGGCGAGAAAGCCCCGTTCGTAAGTGCGGATCCGACGTAAGTATATATCATAGTTATGCCTGTATATATCATAGTTATGCCATAATCATATCATATATAGGTCAGTGATTCCCAACCTTTTTCCCATGGAGGCACCCCTAAAATAATTTTTCATATCCCGAGGAACCCCTACCTATGAAAATGTTTGCTTGGCCAGTAAAAGTTGACAGCGCGCAATGAAGCGAAGAGTGAGCTGGGATTTGATAGCAGCCTTCAACAATCCTGAAGGTGGGTTCAAAAGAGAATGAAGAGAGGCTGTTCTCAGTGGTGGCAGATGATGGATTAAAGAGCAATCCATCATCTCAAATTGCAGTGTGGGAGGTATAGGTTGGATATTAGGAAAAACTATTTCATAAGAAAGGCCATACTGGGTCAGACAAAAGGTCCATGTAGCCCAGTATCCTGTCTGCTGACAGTGGGCAATATCAGATGCCCCAGAGGGAGAGATCACAACAGGTAATCCTCATGTGATCCCTCCCCGTCAAACACTTCCAAAGAAACAAATGCTAGGGATACCATTCCTACCTGGCTAATAGCCATTGATGGACCCAGCCTCCATCTAGCTCTTTTTTGAACCCTGTTAAAGTTCTAGCCTTCACCACATCCTACGGCAAGGAGTTCCACAGGTTGACTGTGTGCTGAGTGAAAAAAAACTTACTTTTGTTTGTTTTAAATCTGCCAGCTGGTCCCGGCCAGCTGTTAAGCCATTTCCCCGCCGGAGTTCCTCCCAATACTCCAGTATATCTGATAATCCAGCACCACCTAGGTCTCAAAGGTGCCAGATTATGGGAAGTCTACTGTATTATCTAATCTTTTTTTTTTTTTTTTTTTTTTTAAATTTAAATATTTCCCTCCCCACCTCCTCCTCCTGCCTCACTCTCTTTCTCTTCTCCTCCCCCTCTTGCATCTCACTCGTGGAGCCCAAATGGCTGCTTGCTCCCACGCGGCGGCCCAGCTGAGCGGCACAGAAGTCAGCCGAGTGCCACAGCAGGAGGTGAAGGGCGTGACACATGCTCCAGGCCCCGCCCAGTGTTATTTGTTCCACAGTACTTATGTCTGTTACAGCAGCATGGTATATTCACACCCCTGAATGATATAAGTTACACATCCAGCCTGCTTAATTAGTACTTCTTCTGCTGTTAAATATTTATATCTGTATCATCTATATCTAGCTTGGTTTCAGTTATTTCCACTCCAATTCATCTGATGAAGTGGGTTTTAATCATGCAAGTTCATGATTCTAGATATATGTTTGTTAGTCTCTAAGGTGCCACAGAACTACTCATTGTTTTTAAAGGTACAGATTAACACAGCTGCACCTCTGAGATAAGTTATACCGACAGAGGTGGTTGTATGTACAAGCCCTTAGACTAATGTAGTTGCAGTAGCTGGTTCAGGAAGCAATATGAGATAAGGAGAGTCACAAGGGACAGAAATTATGTAGAACCATGAAGACAAAGACAAGATGTTTGAATTTTGTTGTGGTAGAGAAGGGGGAACAAATGGAGAGATTCAGAGTGGAGTATGACATGGCTAGGTTGGGTAAGGGAGATGTTATTTAGCAAGCAGATTTTGTATGCACTGAACCAGGGTGGTGTTTGTGTGAGGCTAAAGAGTAGGAGGCTATCATACTAGTATAAGCAGAGCACATGATCTGAGATTAAGAAAAAGATTTAGTATGGGCAATTTAAAGTGATAAAACTGCAGGGCAACCACTCCCTTCTGTCTAATGTTGTATGACAGGAAAGTCTTGCTCTGGTGAAGAGGTAAGCAAAGAGCCTATCCTGGAAAATACAGAAAAGTGCATTTAAATTCCTTGACTCCAACTGGATATTTTTATTAGGTCTCTGATGGATTAAAATATTGCTTTGTTTAAGCAGAGGGTTTAGAACTGTAAATGCACAGCAGCATTATAACACAGATTCATTATTTCGGTGTGGACCAACATGCGCAATTATGTAACAGTTAAAACATTTAGTTCTTCTTTAAGTAGCGTCCCTATAGATGCGCCACTACAGATGTGTCTGCACACCCCCCGCTGCAGATCACAGAATTTAAATTGCAGTCTTGCCACATATGTGCTCGAGTACAGTAATTCCTCACTTAACACGTGCCCGCTTAACACGTTTTCACTTAACACGATCATTTTCTGAAACATCATTAGTGTTAAATGAGGAATTACTGTATTTCTTCCTCAGTTCCTTCTCATTTTCACTTCTCCCCCTTCTCCCCCTACCGAGACAGAACTAAGAGCTGTCCCTTCATGGGTCACTGACTCCTGATAGTTTTGCAGATTTTAGCTTCTCTTGAAGCTTCTTTATTTTAGCACCTTGTTTTAAGCTGCCTGTGCCAAAAGAAGAAAAAAAAAGAAAGGGTTTCCTGTCCACTAATCCTGATGGTGGGAGGACCCCGCTAGACAAAGGTATTCGCAGCTCTCTAAGCTTCAAAAATACTTTACCTGCAAAGAATCTGTCCCTGGTTTTGGATTAGACAGTGCACTCGCTGCCTGGGTGAAAAGCAAAATCCAACAAAGTGTGGTTGGTGCCAGCAGATAAAACCCAAGTCCAGGAAGGATAAAGAGCCAGCTTTTCAAAGGGAAGTGTTTGGCAGAAAAGTGTATTCATCAGCCACTCCTCAGTTCCGGGTGGCTAATTATCAGGTCTTGTCCAAATTTGACTATTAGAACTGTGTGAAACTATATTGCTTTATTAATCAGCTCCCAGACTCCGAGAGAGCAATTTATGGCCATGATTAACTGGTGCAAAACCATCTTTCTGATCCACAGTAGATGTGATGGCAGTTGTGGTTATGAGAAGGGCTTTGTGGTTGCAGTTGTCTAGCTTCTCTAAAGAGGCCTAAACCATGGTGGAGGACTCTCTCTTTGGGGGAATGAAGCTGTTTGCCTAAAAGACAGATACATCTCTTCACATGTTGAAGGGTTTTCAATCAATTCTTTGTTTCCTGGGGATATTATATGATGGCCTAAAAAAGAAAATACAGCCCTAATTTTCTGCTGTAGACCAGGCTTGAGTGGAGAACTAGATTTAGAAGTTTCTTTCATTTTATGTTTACCTCACAGAACTTATTAAATCAGCTGAGAATATGTAATATTTCTAACATAAACATAAAGATGACTTTTTTTCCCTCTTTCCCCACAAGGGTATCTTCAATCAGTTTCAGTGTAGCAGCGAGAAAGTTCTGCCTTCTGATGCCCTGCGCAGTGCTCTTGCAAAGACCTTTCAGGATGAGCAGCGCTTCCAGCTGGGCATCATGGATGATGCTGCTGAATGTTTTGTGAGTATGCTGTTTGTGTGTCACGCAAGGGGGGTTGACAGGCTTTGCAGGGATGTATTGAAAACACCACACTGTTGTCTTGATTTTGATAGCTGCGTACATATTCTAAAAGAGATGATCCCAAGTAGACCCGTTTGAGAAACGCTGCAGTAGAGGGTGAGGCTCGCAAATATTCTGGTCGTGGGGCCATATAAATGCCTAAATAAATATATAAGCTGCTTCTTGGTGCTAAGGTTCAAAATAAGGAAATTAAGTGTGACAACTTTCTAAGTACAGGCAGTCCCCGGGTTACGTACAAGATAGGGACCGTAGGTTTGTTCTTAAGTTGAATTTGTATGTAAGTCGGAACTTGTACATATTGTAGGGGAAACTCTAGCCAAACATTTCTCCAGAGCTCAGTTTTATTCTCCCACACCTCACTTCCCTCAGTCCTTTATTCTCAAGCTGAGGTGTCTGCTGAGAAAAACCGCTCCGCATCTCCCTGTTCTTCTGGGGGTGGGGGAGCGCATAGCTTCGCGTCTCCCTGGTCTGCTGGGGGGAAGCAGCTAGTGCGGGGTTGCCTCACCCCGTTTGTAAGTAGGGATCCGATGTAAGTCGGATCCATGTAACCCGGGGACTGCCTGTACAGTGAAATGTCACATAGCTTCATAATAAATGTGTCCTTGTTCCTTGCATGCTTTAATCAGCTGTGCAATTGAGACTTTAGATAACCGGACATCGCCCCATTGAGATGAATGGAGCAGTTCACACTTCTGAGAGCTGTTTTATAGGCAGCCCTTAAACTGCCTATAAACTAAGGGTTTGTAGATGTGGGGATATTATACCAGTGTAATCTAAGTTGTAAATTTATACAGATATACTGTCTTAAGCCTGTCAACACTGTTTATGTAACTGCCCACTTAACTGCAGCTTTCCTGGCCCAAGTGCCTGTTCCGGATACCTGGTTGTCCATTCACATCGCACTACCTACTTACCAAGCAAACCTGGGACTATGCTGGCTTCAATAGAGCAGTATTGCAAGTCGCACGACTGAACTCGGAGCCCACCTCCAGGGATATTGCTTATGAATCATCTAGAATGGAAATGACATGAGCAAGCACTCCAAGAAAAAATGGTTACCCACCTTTCATAACTTGTTCTTCGAGATGTTTTGCTCATGTCCATTCCATTACCCACTTCTCTGCCAAAGTTGCTGGCAAGAGGGAACTGAGAGCTGCCACATGAGTGAGGCAATCCACAGATACTGCTAAGGCAAAAATCTGTGACAGCTGGAGGGCATGCATGTACCTAGAATGGAAGGGACATGAGCACACATCTCCAATTTACAAAAGGTAAGTAACCATTTTTTGTTGCAACCGTGTGTCAGGGGTATGAATAATTGAGACCTGTGAATGGTGTATGTAAGCTAAACCAAGTCCTCATGAGTGAGGCAATCCACAGATACTGCTAAGGCAAAAATCTGTGACAGCTGGAGGGCATGCATGTACCTAGAATGGAAGGGACATGAGCACACATCTCCAATTTACAAAAGGTAAGTAACCATTTTTTGTTGCAACCGTGTGTCAGGGGTATGAATAATTGAGACCTGTGAATGGTGTATGTAAGCTAAACCAAGTCCTTGTGTAGACAGTACAAGGTTGACAGAAGAATTCTTCCATCGACCCTAGTTACTACCTCCCCAGGAGGTAGATTACTTACACTGAGGGAGGAATTCTTCCTATCAACATAGGTAATGTCCACACTGACAAGCTATAGAAGCACAACTGTGCTGCTACAGCATTTTAAGTATAAGGAAGCTCTTGGTTGACAGGAGTTCTGCTGACCTAGCTGCTACAGCCTGGAGAAGGAGATTTACTACATTGATGGGAAAAGTTTCTCTTTAATGTAGGAAGCACCTAGAACATGGTGCTACAGTGGTACAACTGCAGCCATTGTAGTGCAGACATATCCCTATGCTATAATAAGGGTGTCCACATCAGTGCTGATGTCAGTTGAAATATGTTGTTGTAATTAGAAGTAGTATAACTGATTCCTTTGGGGACAAGCCTTAGGGCAGACATCACTCCCTTACTTTTCACTCAGTTAACTTCAAGGTTTTCTTTGCAACCATAAGGACTAAAGACTTAGGCTGTGTCTATGCTATGCACCTTGAAGTGGCACGACTGTGCGGCTACAACTGTACCATTTTAAGGCACACAGTGTAGCCACTTTTTGTCTCCAGGGGAGGGCTCTGCTGATGACAAAATAAAAACCACCCCCACAGAGGGGCAGTGGTTTCATCAGTGGGAGAGCTCACCCGTGCTTTTCGTCACTAAAACTTTTGTTGTTCAGGGGTTGCTTTTCACACTCCTGAGCAACAAAAGGTTTAGTTATGAATGTGTAGTGATTAACATGCAGTGATTATACAGAAGGGTTACTCCAGGGTGATGATCCTGCAATTAGGTTCCTCTGCCAGGCAGTGGCACCCCACTGAGCTGCTGTGCCAATTATACTTAACGCCTAAGGTGAGCAGATGTCCTGTTTTTAAAGGGCCAGTCTCATATTTAAGCCCTCCTGCATGTGTCATGACTTTTTTTTTTTAAAAAGGGCAAATTGTCCCATATTTTCCATTCTCTTGCCCCCATCAGTACTGATGGACTCTATTGCTGGCTGAATCCCTGCTTGCCAGCCAGCCACCCACCCACCAGTGGTGAGTTTTGGGGGGTGTCCAGGGGCTGACATTGGGGATGAGTATTGCAGTGCATGGGGAGCCGCCCACTCCCTCTGCTGATCTGTCTGCACAGCCCCTGCTGTGTGCTCGCTCTTGGCCATCAGGGCCCCACTCCCTGTCTCAATTCTGGCTGGTATGGTTGTGAACAGCAGTGGCTGGTGAGCATGGACAGGTGCCAGGTGGCAGCTAGTTAGGTGACCTCTCTGCTGCCCACCCTTCAACCCTTTATGTGCTCCCTCTCTTGCTGTTCTCTTCCTGCTTTGCCCCTTCCCTCTATCTCCATCCTCACTGCTCCTCCATATCCCCTAACAAGGTGTCCCACTCCCAGTGCTCTGTGAAGAGTCAACCTTTGGTCAGGGTGCTCCGCTCACCAACAGTCAGGCCAAAAAGCTCCTTTCTTCCTTCCACTGCCTCTGGCTGGGCAGGTGCACTGGGAAAGCCCAAGACTCTCCAGCCTGAGGTACTGGCTGGGAGGAGCCAAGGCCTGCGTGTGCCAAAGCCCTGCACAGCACTAGCATGGGGAAGCCTCTCCACCCCGCAGCTAAGCTCTGGAGTAGCAGGAAGCAGTTCCCATCTCTTCCCTCCTGCCCAGTGCCAAAAGGCTGCTGCTGACCACATTCTAGTGTGAACCCTGGCAGAAACCTGGGGTGCGTGAGCATGTGACCCTGTGTGCATCCTGCACATGTTGCCTTGAGAAGATACAGTGCCAGGTACTAGGAGAGTCAGGTTCATGCTGGGGGCCCAGCCAGGCATGGAGGGTAGAGAGGGCTGGGTAGGGAGGGTTGTTTCCGTCAGTCTCCCCATCCACCCCCCGTGTGATAGCGTTGTATAGGGGAGTGAGTGTGTATGATCTCTCCTTGTGTGTGGAGGAGGATAGGTGTGGGTGTGTCACCCCTCCCACCCCTTTGTGAACCTTAAAGATAAGGTTAATAAAAAGAATCCAACTTCCCAGTATTTTTTTAACAGGGTTCAATTGGATGTTAATGTGAACATTTTTATGATTGATTGCTGTTGAACTTACTTGAATGCAACTAATTTTACCAGGTGTCCCATATTCAGTATAGGGAAATATGGTCACCCTACTTACACCAAACCACCGACATTTGAGAATTTGCCAGAACAAATAATAATAGAACCTGCAGAAATGCAAGTAAATAAATAAAAAGGTCAATTGATGTAGCATTCCAGATAACATACAGAGTAGTTATTTTGTGTGAGATCAATGTTTAGTTCCTAAATGAATATAGAATGTCGGCACTCAATGCTATTATAAAATGTCACTTTTAACACAGCATTATTTATTTTAGTATTTCTGAGTTACTGTAGTGAATTATGTGCAATTCTTTTTTGTTTGTCTACAGTACAAATGATCATTACAAATTTTTCACTTTTTCCATCCTTTGGGGATAGGAGAACCTCTTGATGCGGCTTCATTTCCACATTGCAGATGAGTCAAAAGAGGACATCTGCACTGCTCAGCACTGCATTTCCCACCAGAAGTTTGCGATGACCTTGTTTGAACAGGTGTGAGCGATATCTTTGTACACACAGCAGCCCCTTCCCAGTTAGGATTAGTTTCTGAGAAATCTGGCACCATGTCTGAAGAAATGGCAGAGAGGCACAACTAGGATTGCCACTCATCAGGCTCTTACCTAGACAGTCCAGTTATTGGCTTCGGAGGGAGGTGCATTTAGGATTTCCAGGTGCCTGGTTGTCAGTGACCTGGCAACACTAATTTATGGCACCTCAACCAAAAGCTTTGTTACCACAGGACAGGGGGTGATGTTGGGTCACTAACCAATGTCAGCCCCTGCTGAGCTGGAACTGATCCCTGTGTTGAGAGCAGACGCCTTGAGAGAATCCAGTGAGTGACTAGGGAAAGGGGGCAAAGGAGAAATAAATAGGGGTGGAGCCTTCTAGGCAGTGTTCTCTCTAATTTTTTAAGTCCGTGTGCAGAATAAATTTTGTGATGTGCACCAATATGGAGGTGGTGTGTGGTGATATCGGTGCACATCACAAAATTCATTCTACACATGGCCAGTCTGTCGTAAAGGTGGGGCTGAGGGTTCAAAATGTGAGGTTCTGGGGATGCAGTCTCTGGGGTGGAGCTGGGAATGAGATGTTTGGTGTGCAAGAGGGGGGCTCCAGGCTGGGGGCAAGGGCTTTAGAATGTGGGAGCAGGCTCAGGACGGGAAGTTGGGGTGGCAGTATGGGGTCCTGGCAGGAGGTAGGGTGCAGGAGGGGGGCTCATGGTTGGGGTGTGGGGTCAGGAGAATTGCCAAGGTGGTAGAGGGGCCTTGGAGCTGGGGGAGGGGATTGAGTTGTTGAGATGCTTACCTGGAGCAGCTCCCATTTGGTGTGAGAGGAAACAAGTGACTCCGTGCTGCCCCCCATAGCTCTCATTGGTTGGAATTCCCAGCCAATGGGAGCTGTGAAGACAGAGTTTCTTGTGGTGATGTGGCTCCAGTTTGAAACTGCCACCATGCGGGGAGAGGAGTCTCTTCCCCCAGCAGCTCCATGCATGGTAGCCCTGAGCCCCTGTGTGGGGATTATTAGGCAGCTGTGCAGCCATGCAATTTAGAGGGAATCTTGATTCTGGGAGAAGAGGAGGGTCAGGCCTTGGAGGGGTCCACTTACCAGCAATATGTGACATAGTTTAGCCTTTTCACCGTATTACTTTCTCTTCCTCTTTTAGTGTGTGTGTACCAGCTGTGGTGCCACCTCCGACCCACTGCCTTTTATCCAGATGGTACATTACATCTCCACCACTTCACTCTGGTGAGTGTGGGGTTTATATGACAAAAAGAGCTCCCTTTGTTGACAGTAGTACCGTGGTCTTTGTATTTTTTTCTATTGTCCTATAATTCAACATCGAGAACAATAATTGCTCATTATTAATGGAGACCTAGGATAACTCTGGTCTAGGACATAAGGTTTCTGTGGGACAGAAAACTAGGATGGAGGGTAGATGCAGATTGATAATTTAGGTGCAATGATAGAGTTATAAGATGGTGGACCTTTATGGCAGGGAGCTACCTAGAACAGAGAAACCGATACTTGAAGAACTGAGTTAAGGAACAGGATGGGAAAGGAGTAGTGCTATAGTTCTGGGCTGCAGAGCATTGGTTCCTAGATCTGGAACAAAAAAAGGTAATACAGGATAAAACTGAATTGCATTGGTAGAATGGAACTGTGTGGTGGGCTGCACTGAAATAGCAGAGCAGTTCAGGTTCACTTTAATGGGCATTAAACCAATTTTTAGTATCTCTGTGGTTCATATGCATGAAATCCTTCCTGTCAGATTCTTTCAACACTGATTCTGCTGCAAAGCTTCTTTATTGTGGTTCCTAATAGTATTACAATTTCATTATAGGGCTTTCATTTAAAACAGAGATTTACCTGTAAAACCCTGCATCACATTTTGGCTAGGATGCATAGTAAATATTTAAATAGAAAACCAAGAGTTATTATTTTAACCTTTATCTACCAGAGGCAGCTTCATGCTGTTCCTGCACATGAAATTGGCTACGAGTTCTCAGTATTGAACAATGGGAACCTGAACATCAGGAGCACATAAAACAACGAATGATTTAAAAAAAATGCCCCAAATGAGTTTTTTGGCTAACTAGTTATTTGCTGAGCAAATACATTCAAAGCAGTATCAGCCATAAGGAAGTACTGAAAAAGGGTAGTATCCACTTGTTAAGCCTGTAGGAGTTGCATTGAATTATTAAACACCAGAATTATTTTGGCCTTTCAGATTAAAAACCACGTCACAGGTAGCCTGCTTTAAAAATTAGACAACATAAGTTATCAGCATCATTCCTCCTTTGGTGTGCTCTTGGAACTATCAGAAAACATTTTAGACTTAATTCAATCAGATGTCTTAGGTTAAAAGAAAATAAATTATGTACACATTATTCTGTATGAGATAAAAATAGAGAGGCCCAGTGCTGTTTCTTTTCCCTCTATTGGTAATTCATTTATGGGTTAGTGTCATTGTAATGATATACCATAGAAAAGGAAACTTAAAGGCATAAATGAATGAATAAAAATAAGAGCTAAAATATTGAGCACAAATAAATAAGAAAATGCATGAAGTTTTGGCTTGAATCATTTCAAAGTTCTGTTGAATACGCAGTTAGGAGAACAGCTTGTTTTCCTTTCTCTACATGCTGGTGATATTACTGAAAAGAAACTGACCAGCAGTGATAAAAGGCTGATTGAGAAATGCTGATTGAGATGAAAATAAATGAACTGCCCACCTGCTGCCCAAGATGAAAGCCATGCAGTGGAGGAGTGAAAAGGGATTTGGATGCTGTCTTGAAAATCAGAAATAGCTCTTGTCATTCAAATCAGTGGGGGGAAATTATGACTGATAGTGTATCAAAAGGGTTGTGAGAATACACTGTATTCCAGGCCTGGGCAAAATATGGCCTGCTGGCCGGGTACAAGCCACCGGATCCAGCCCGTGGAGGCAGCAGGGAGGCCTGAGCAGGCTCCCCTGCTCTTCCTGCAGCCTTGTGCAGAAACGCGGCTGCCAGGCCCTGTTTCTGTTTCAAAACTGGAGTGGAGGAGGGAAGCTTCATGAGCCACCCCAGCACAATCCCGTTGGCCAGTTTCTGGCTGGCTGGGAAATGTTTTAAGCTCTGCGAACCTTAGCTCTGCAGGCAAGCAGGCTGATTTGGCTGCTGTCTGGTAAGTCTTCTGGCCACAGCTTGCCTCTGGCACCCCAGCCATTCCCTGCCCCAACCCTCTGCCCCCCTCTCAACATACCCAAACCTTCTGTCTCCCTCCTGCACCCATACCCCCTTCCAGATCTGGCACCCCAATCTCCTGCCTAGATCTCAATCCCCTTCTACCCTAGGTCACATCCCAAATCCCTGCACTCCAGTCCCCTGCCCTAGGTCACAATTGCCTCCTTCATCCAAACTCTCTCCCAGACTCTAGTCTTCTTCCTGCATCCCAGTCCCTTACCCCAAGCTCTCGTCTGCACCCAACCTCCATCCCAGATCCCGCATCTCCTCCATTAATATCATGGAAGAGTGCAGCCCTCAGCCACTTTCCAAAATGTTGGTGAGGCCCCCGTCAAAAATTATTGCTCACCCCTGCCCTAGACACTGCATCTCCTCCACAGAAGAGTACGGCCCTTCACCACTTTCCAAAATCTTGGAGTGGCCCCCCACCAAAATTATTGCCTATCCCTGCTGTATTCCCCCTTGTGGCTACTACCATCTAGGTGAACTTCTGGCTGCCATTGTTCATCCAGATAGTTTTATTAATTTAAAATATTAATATTTTTTCATAAGAATTACTAATGAGATTAAATGTATTTGCAACTTTAGAGTTTCAAGAAACATGATGTCAACAGCATGATTTATATTCATACATCCTTTATGTACATTGGTTACACTGAAACTGTTAACTTCAAAATATATTTTACTTTTCTCCACTAATGCTGCGTGTTTGCTTTTTGCAGTCTTTCAATTTGTAAACAGTGCAATTAAATGTCTGCTTCATTGTTGCTTATAATTTCACGGGTAAGATTTCACCAAGAGTTCCTCAATGTTTGGGTTGCAAATTCTGTAGAGAAGTACTTATTTGCTATAAAAATGTGTTCTAATTGGAACTTAAATATTCCCTGAAACATTTCTGTTAAGTTTTGCCTTAAAATGTCAAATTTTAAGCTAAACTTGAGTTTTGTCATTTCTCTTTAAATTTCCCATTTTCTTTCTGCAACGTAGTCACAGAAAATGCTTGAATTCCCTAATGAGATTTGTCTGTTTTATACATTTAAATATTTTCAAAATATGGACAAACTGCAAAAAATAAGCAATTAAAACATTTTGTTTACTTTTTCAGTTTTCCAACTGTGGCATAAATACTAAATGAAAATGTGTATTTATTCAACTTTTTAATAAACTTTTCTCCTCCTTGCTGTCCTCAAACTAAAGCAACCAAGCTATTTGCATGTTGGAGAGACGAGAGAAACCCACTCCAGATATGTTTGGAGAATTACTACAGAACGCCAGCACAATGGGAGATCTGCGAAACTGTCCGGTTAGTATGCTTGGCTTGACTTTTTAACAAAAGAGACAAAAGAGAGTTAGCAGATGCTGCTCTTGTGTGCCCCTGACTTTCAAGATGTAGCTCATCACAATGCTAGAGAGGTGTCAGAAATGGATGGACTGATTGTCTTTGTGGGTAATATTTCCAGAAGGTTTCATGACTCTTTGGGTAGGGGAAAAGAAAAGCTGTTATCTGTGCCCACTCTTTAACAGCTGGAGATTTGCTGAGACACAAGTTATGGAATGTGGTAAGAGAAGAGAGCAGATGATGTGAGAGGCAGAAGTTAGAAAATCTCATCCAAAGGAATAGAAGCAGATGTTGCGAGAGGCAGGACTTAGAAAATCTCATCCAAAGGAACAGAAACAACAACAGTGAAAGCTGCTTCCCATATTGGAGAGTGCTATTTTATATAGTCATTATTGGGCTTACAACAGCATGTTCGCAATGGACATAATTCTCATGGTGATCTTTTTGGTGCAAGCTACAGTATAATAATAGTACGCTTCATGAACAGCTTGCTTTGTCGACAGAACTCAATGTAGTCTGGACGCGCTTTGTCGACAGAAGCCTGTAGTCTAGACGTACCCTAGGAGAAGAATGGCCAAAAATATTGATGCATTTTGGTGACTATAAGCTACTGTTGTAAATTATTGGTGCTGTTAAAAATACAGCTTTGTGTAATTTTGGGTTCTGAGTCTTGTCAGTTTGGAGTGTGGTGGTGAATTTTTGAGAGGAGTAGAAGGAACTGGTGTTGATTGTAGCAGGAATAGTAATAACTGCACTAACCAAGGCTGCTGCATCATTTCTGCTCTAACCTTCTGCTTTTCAGCAGTTTATAACTTTCTGAAACTTTCACCTTTCTCATTGAAGCTTTCCATGCATAGTCTCTGGCAAAGGTGAATATTTCCTTTTCAAAAAGCTGTAGTAAAAATGCTTCAGCTCTTTGACTACAAAAGTAGATGCATATATATTTTCACATTTTAAGAAAATTGGCAAACATTTTATCAGTTCAATCAAAATATGGAAAGTTAAAATGTAGTAAATATATAGCCTCTTGTGGAAGAGGAGCCCTTTGATTTATCTGTGAATTTTTTGGTTTGACTAAATGGTTTCCTAATTGCTGCTTAGAATCATAGAATCCTAGGGCTGGAAGAGACCTCAGGAGTCATCAAGTCCAGCCCCCTGCCCAAAGCAGGACCAGTCCAAACTAAATCAACCCAGCCAGGGCTTTGTCAAGGCAGGACTTAAAAACCTATGAGGATGGAGATTCCACCACCTCCCTAGGGAACCCAGCCCAGTGCTTCACCACCCACCTAGTGAAATAGTTTTTCCTAATTTCCAACCTAGACCTCTGCCACTGTAACTTGAGACTATTGTTGCTCGTCCTGCCATCTGCCACCACTGAGAACAGCCTCTCTCCTTCCTCTTCGGAACCTCCCTTCAGGTTCAGCTGCTCCCAAATCCCCCCCTCACTCTTCTGCAGACTAAATAAGCCCAAATCCCTCTGCATCTCCTCATAGGTCATGTACTCCAGCCCCCTAATAGTTTTGGTTGTCCTCTGCTGGACCCTCTCCAATGCGTCCACATCCTTTCTGTAGTGGGGGCCCCAGAATTGGATGCAATACTCCAGATGTGCCCGTCCTCCCTCCCTCCATCCCTCCCCCAGTGCTGAATAAAGGGGAATAATATCTTATCTAAATCTGCTGGCAGTGCTCCTCCTAATGCACCCTAATATGCCATTAGCCTTCTTGGCTACAAAGGCACAGTGTTGACTCATGTCCAGCTTTTCATCCACTGTAATCCCCAGGTCCTCTTCTGCTGAACTGCTACTTAGCCAGTTGGTCTCCAGCCTGTAACAATGCTTGGGTTCTTCCGTCCCAAGTGCAGGACTCTGCACTTGTCCTTGTTGAACCTCATCAGATTTCTTTTGGCCCAATCCTCTAATTTGTCTAGGTCACTCTGGACCCGATCCCTGCCCTCCAACGTATCTACCTCTCCCCCCTAGTTTAGTGTCATCTGCAAACTTGCTGAGGGTTCAATCCATCCCCTCATCCAGGTCATTAATAAAGATGGTGAACAAAACCAGCCCTAGAACTGATCCTTGGGGCACTCCACTTGAAACCGACCGCCAACCTGACATTGGGCCATTGATTACTACCCATTGGGACCGACAATCTAGCCAGCTTTCTATCCATCTTACAGTCCGTTTATCCAATCCATACTTCCTTAACTTGCTGGCAAGACTATTATGGAGACCGTATCGAAAGTTTTGCTAAAGTCAAAGTAGATCACATCCACTGACTTCCCATGTCCACAGAGCCAGTTACCTCATCATAGAAGCTAATCAGGGTGGTCAGGCACGACTTGCCCTTCGTGACTTCATGTTGACTGTTCCTGATCACCAGGGCTTGACGAACGGCGGGCGAAAGCCGCTCGCCAGCCCTGCACTGTGCATGCGCAAGACCCGCATTGCGCATGCGCGCGCCGTGAATGAATGGGGTGCCCGGCTGAAATCTACTTGCCACGGGTGAGTAGATTCATTACTTTGTAGAGCCCTGCTGATCACTTTCCCTTCTTCCAAGTGCTTCAAAATGGATTCCTTGAGGATCCCCTCCATGATTTTTCCGGGGACTGAAGTAAGGCTGACTGGTCAGTAGTTCCCTGGATTGTCTTTCTTCCCTTTTTTACAGATGGGTACTACATTTGCCTTTTTCCAATCATCTAGGACCTCTCCTGGTCTCCATGAGTTTTCAAAGATAATGGCCAAAGGCTCTGCAATGACATCTGCCAACTCCCTCGGATGCATTAAATCCGGATCCATGGATTTGTGTATGTCTAGCTTTTCTAAATAGTTCTTAACTTGTTCTTTCTCCATTGAGGGCTGCCCACCTCCCTCCTATACTGCGCTGCCTAGTGGCTTCTTCCTCTGTTGTTAGCCTCATCTTTCTCGCTATATTCTGAGAAAGCATCCTGAGTGTTAAAAGTAGCACCTCCTGTAGTGCAAGAGAGGAATCGCTGTAGGAGAACTCAGTATTCCTTCTTCCCTGTCAGAAAGTTAGGAATTTAGCTGAGCTCTTTCAGTGTAGCTCAGTAGCTCTTCAAATGGATGGGAGAAGGAAGGAAGAGAATTTGCAGTTAAGGTAATTCAGTTGCTCTGAGGTAGGCCACACAAATTCCTGGAGTGAACTTCAGCCATCTGAATGACATTTGGAAAATAGACTATCGGAGTGTGTGTGTGACAGTGGTGATTGTGTTGACTCTATTTTGTTATGTTGTATGTGATTCCTACTGTTCTGTTGTAACCTTGTGTGTGCGCCCCAGTTTCCTTGGGCACTGCACTGGTACCTGGCTAGGGATGGGAATGGTGGGTGTGGCTCTCATTGAGTGGGGAGCTGCCCCAGGCTGCCCCAATTTAGTACGTACACAACAATAGCTCAGGTTGTCTTGTAGTCTGAGCCTAGGTGCAAAATTCAGTAAGTGACACCTTTTGAAGCTAGACCAGTGGTTCTCAAAGTGCGCTCCATGGATCGCTAGTGGTCCGCAGCCACCTTCCACGGTACAAGCTCAGCCCCCTTCCTCCACTACAGGGTAGGGAGCACGCGCTGCCTCCCCACTGCATGGGAAAGGAGGGGGGGAAACAAGTTCCCCCTGCATCCCGCTGGGGGAATGGCTGTGAGGCTTTCCCCGCTGCTGCCATTGGCCGATGCTACCCCGGGCAGTGGTCTTGGCAGAGCTCAGTGGGGAAGCAGCAGCCCACATGCTGCGCCTATGCCAGGAGCCCTCCAGTGCCACCACAGCCCAGCATCTAGCCCCACCTCAGGGAGCCGGCTCTGCTAGACGGGAGATTGGCATCTGCCTCCCCATGCTGTGCTGTGGCATCTGCCCGCAGCCTCTGACGCCTCCAGGTATTGCCCAGGGGGGCTGCTGGGAAAGCCCTGCAAGTGGCAGGGCTGGCGCTGTTACACTGCAGAGTTGGGGAAACATCCAGAGGAGCCTGGAGGCCTTTCCCCCTTGGTACCTGCCCATCCTGCCTTCTGCTCAGCAGTGCAGACAGCTGCATTTCCGAGGCGGGGAGGGAGCTGCTCTGAAGGGCAGCCACAAAGTGTGGGGCTCCTCCAGAAGTCAGGGGAGGGGACTGCCTGCCTCCCCAGGAGTTCAGGGGGCTGCAGCCAGAAGGAGCGGGGTCTCTAGGGAACTCTGTCCCCGATCTTCATCCCTCACTGAAGAGCTGGTGTAAACCAAGAAATGCTTCTGTATTGCATTGTGTCCAGTGCACCCCATGCCCTGGCTTGCTCTGGACAGCCAAAAAGTTTGAGAACCTCTGAGCTAGACAGGGGAGGAGGTGGGGCTGCCCACAGTGTGGGGACTGACTGTCAAGTGTGTGAGTGCTCTCTGCTGGCTAAGAATGCACGGAGGGGGCGCAGGCCCTGGGTCCCCCTCTCCCCAAGTTGTTTTGTACTTACCTCTCCAGGTTCCTGTGTTTAACAAGTCTGAGCTACGCTGTATCCCTGTCAATGAATAACCCTTCTGTTCTTCTTGCTGGTTGAGAGTCGTGTCTGTCTGCAGACAGGGGTTCAAGGCCCGGGGATCCCCACACACTCCATAACAATGTCCTTCTCACTTCCTGAAATATAAACAACTCAGATTTCAGTATTTGGAAAAGGCCTTTTCCTACCACTACCCTGCTGTTGGCTTCTTATTACTAAACCCAGAAAAGATGCCTTGGAAAACTCAAGCTATAATCCCTTGAGCTGATTGGGCTGAAAAATACTGTAGCGAAGCTTGCAAAACGAATCCTGATGAATTCATTTGGTAAAGCAAGCCACCTTTGTAAACTGCTGTTGAAAGGAAGAGGCCCTACAAAAACTTTCGTTCTCTGGATGAAGTGTCAGGAATGATTAGATCCAGTGCTGAAATTGGCCTCTTGGCAAGTAGAAGCCTTTTAAGAAGCCTTTTGGTCCAGAGAATATGTTCAAAGCAGCTTAAAATGA